AAAAAAAAAAAAAAAAAGAAGAAAAAAGAAAAATGTGGTCTGGAAGATGGATTGCTTCAGTAGGTTAAGACAAACTTGTAACAGTATGATGTGAAAGGCTCTAGTTGTTATATTCTTATCTCTGTGTATAATATAAATTTGATGGTGATTCATAGGGCAAAGCATGCAACACCGAACATTAGAATATAAACTGTAAGGGAGTCTGACTCCTTCCTGGATCCAAGTTGTCAGAATATTTCGAGATAAACCTGACTGCTTCAAGGATATTGTATTTCTCAAAATCAGTGTTTATTCTAAGTATTTCAGACACAAAATACATAGAAGATATAAGAAAGCCTGTGTACATCAACCACCTGACACCACAAAAACTACTGAAGCCGCCCGATAACATGCTTAGTGCTGCGCTGTCTTCTCATAACTAGTATGCTGAATTTGATATCTATCATTCTTATGCGTCTTTGGTCTTTTACTACATATCTATGGATCTGCAAACAAAGAGGGTATTGTTTAACAAGATTTAAATTTTCTACAAGGGTTTTAAGTTGGTAGTTTATGTAACTTCCAAGATACATTTTTCATCTGTATAACCCTGCGAAGAGCCCGTTACCTATGTGAATAGGGTACAACTGGGGTCAGAAAGAAGAACTCATTGAAGTCACACAGCTAACACCTGGTGGACCAAAGAATGAAATCCACGTTATTGAAGCAACTCCACTGCTCCTCCCACTATGGTACACAATGTCTCCTTCTTCCTTTGGTAATTTCGTTTACCTACTCAACAAATAATTGGAACACCTATATTTCAGATACCATGCTAACGTCCAGAATATGATGGTTGGGCAGTTTTTGTGGAAGGGATGGAGACAACACTGAAGAGGTACAGCAGTGAAGGCACTTGTACGTCAGAGGTACAAAGGGATATCTTTCAGGCCATGAAGAGACAAGATACGGTTTTAGAAGGAGAATAACCTAATGAGATATCGTTCCAGAAAGACTACTTGGGCCAATGTGAAAATGGAGCGAGGCAGGGAAATGTTAGTAACGTGGGCATAGCAATGAAGTCTGAACAGAGGTAGTGGCAGTGACCCTGAGGACAAGTGGGGCAGATCTTAGAAGGAGTGGGGGGTTTGATCATCAGGGAGGAAGGGGGGCTGGAAATCAGGTGTACAGCCATTGGGGGAGGCAAGAAATGGCATGAGAGGCAAAGGTCAGTAGTCAATAAAGACTACATCTGAGCCTCGACTTTTCTCACAAGTAAAGGGAAGACGATAACTGTATATCTACCACATAGAATACTTAAATAATACCTGTATGAGCGCTCAGCTCATTGCTGGTGCAGCATAAATGCTCAATAAATGTTAGCTATTATTTCCAGGTTTCTTGCATGGAAATAGAGGATACAGGTATCAGCAATGCTTTTAAGAATAAATTTTAGGGACTTCCCTGGTGACACGGTGGTTAAGAATCCACCTGCCAATGCAGAGGACATGGGTTTGAGCCCTGGTCCAGGAAGATCCCACATGCCACAGAGCAACTAAGCCCGTGTGCCACAACTACTGAGCCTGTGCTCTAGAGCCTGTGAGCCACAACTACTGAGCCTGTGCACCGCAACTACTGAAGCCCGTGCTCCTAGAGCCCATGCTCTGCAACAAGAGAAGCCACCACAATGAGAAGCCCGCGCACCGCAACAAATAGCCCCCACTTACCGCAACTGGAGAAATCCCGTGTGCAGCAACCAAGACCCAACACAGCCAAAAATTAAAAAAAAAAAAAAAAAAA